TAAACGTGCAGGCCCGTGTGCTAGAATTGACATGTCCCAGCTAGGTTTGGGGTGTGAATTCTGCCACCTGTGCATGCAGCTCTTAGTGCCCCAAAAGACATGTGCCAAGCTGTGTGCTTACAATGGGGCCACTTCCTGAAAGTGTTGCCCTTCAGGTTAATCACAAGACTTTCTTCAGAGTGGTGAGAAATGTAGTGTAACCTCCTCAGTTCAGTGCAACATGCTCCTGGCCAGGCCAGGCAGCTATTCCTCGTGACAGCAGGGACTGGGGGAGGGGGTGCTCTGCTATTCCACATAAACAGTCAGGGCTTTATTCCCTTTTTCTGGACTCCCATCAGCTGCAGAGCTCGCGCCAGGAGAAAGAGCTGTACAGAGAGAGATCCATCCCAGGCCATGCTTTGGAGGGGGAACCTGGCCAGAGCCCATGGAAAGGAATGGTGGTAAATGACCTGAAATTAAGTGATTAATCTCTTTAAATAAGTGTGAAACCATCTTCCAGAAAAAGTTAATCTAGTCCCAGTGGCTCTAGTGCCTTTCCTGGGCTCCAATCAATATGTGGTCGCTTGCTTTTCATTTGCAATTCACAGTAATTGCAAAGGAGCATTTTCTGAAGAAAATGACATTCTAGAAGCAGAGATGCTAAGAGACAGACTAGGATCAATTCGATTTAAATCCCAGAGCAGCGAGTGCTGTCAAATGTGCAGGAGAGATGGAGACATTCCAGGAGTCATGGGCTCTGTATGCTGGATTCCCCTACTCAGAGTGGCAGGAATGATCAAAGCCTGGACTGACATCATGTATCTCCTGCCTGTTCATTCGGAGGCCTGTGCTGCCTCCAGATGGAGCTGGGAGGGGAGATACGTTCTGCTGAGCCTTCGTCAGCAGAAGCTGGGAGGAAGATGGATCACAAAATTATAAGGTTAGGAAAGAGGAATAAGATGGACCCAATGCCACGTGTTTCCTGCAGGCGCAGCAATGAACCTTGCTCTGATCCACAGGCTGCCCAGAACCGGCGCACTCCAGAGCCTGCCGCAAGCTGCCCAAGTTGAATAAGAAGCTGTCAGGCAGGGTAGGGAAGAAATCCTTCTGTGGAGCCTGGGAAGGTACTGAAGCATAAGGCACCGGCCTCCCCAGGCTGGGCAGGAGGATAACGGCCGGGGGGTCTCTCTCTGCCAGCATCACCGGGGTAAGTTACCCCAGCAGGCTCAGATGGGAGCTCTCAGCACCAAACGGGGAGCTGGGCCCTGGCCTGGCCTGTGAGCTTAGGGCGCAGTTCTGCATCCTGCACTCTCATGAGTAGCTCTTACCTGGGGTGAAATTCTCCCTTGTGTAGGAGGCAGGACAAGGCCTGTGCTCCATGTAAACCCCATGGACACATGGGGCTTGAATTTCACCCCTGCACAGTCACTTGTGCATCACCCCCTTGGCTCCAAGGTTTGCAGAAAGGGGCCCTAAACAAGGCCACGCTCCCACAGAATGAACGGCTGCGTGTGCCCCCAGGCAGTAAAGCAGGAAGCTCCCTGGTTTGCTCTGGGGACCCCAGCTGGGCTGGCCAGGGCACAGGCCCGTGCAGCTCCTCCTGACCTGGTATCTGCTCTGTACCTTTGCCTGGGAGAGCAAGGCTCACAGTCTGGCGGAGCTGCGCTCAGTACTCCATGCACCCTGGGCTGCATCGCCCTGTGGCTGAAGGATAAACACGGAGCTCCTGCACACGGTAGGTTGCTAACAGCACTGATGGAGCCTGGGCGTCGGGGGGCTATTGAAAGGTAGGCGTTGCTGGATGGATGGACAGACAGGACAGCCATGTCCCTCCTCACTGCCCCCGGTCTGGCACAAAGCTGCTGCTCCCCCGCTGAGTCTGCAGGTGACAGGATCTTGTCGGGCAGAGAGGACAGCGACTCCCCTCTGCGGGAGCCCATTGCTTTTCCGTCATCCTCTGTTAAACCAGAACATAATTTTCCGGGATGTCATTCTAATTCTAGTGGGAAAGCTTATTACTTGTGATTTACCCATAAAACAGCCTGATGACTTACGACTGGATGTCAGTGGGTTTGCCTATCAATCTGTCACCGTGGGGCTGGCTCTCTGCAGGGCAGGGGGAGTGTGCCGGGGGGTGGGGGTGAGGAGGGGAGTGCGCCGCTGTGATTGACACAGTTTTAACCAGCCATAAAGCCTCTGACATGTTCCTTTTGGCTCGGTGCTGATCTGCGCTGCCAGGCTCCAGTGCAAATGTCATTCGAACGTGTTCTGCCCATGGTACCTATAAATAACGAAAGCAGCAGGTCTGTGCGCTCAGCTCTCCCCTGGAGGTGGGCGAAGGCGGCTCACCCTTCCCGCACCAGGCTCAGGCACAGCGAAGGGAGGGAGCCCACTGCTGTGCCCCAGGCTGCCAGCTTATTTATTTCTCTGCCATGTTATCCTGAACCCTTAGGCCAGCATGTCCTCCTCCCCCTCCTGCAGCCCTGGGCTCACTCCCTTCAGTGGGACAGGTAGGACCCGTCGGCCCCAGCATGGGGATACTGCACACGTCTCCGAATGATGCCAGGGTCGTCCTACAGCCTGACCAGTGAGAGCAGCCAGCCGGATAATGGCTCACTCGGCCGGGTCTGAGGGAGATGCAGGCCAGCCCCTGTCTCTGCCGGGGGCGGGGGGTGGTCCTGGCCAGCGGGGAGCAGAGCACAGCTTGGCACAAGAAAGGCGGGTCAGGGAGGGTGCAGCAGCGACTTGGGGTATTGTGACAGCTCCCCCGGCGCTCTGTGCCCTTGCCCAGCTTGGGCTCCAGTACCAGGCCCTCCCTGCCCCCCAGCGCTCCCATCCCTGTGCATGCTCTCGGCTCGTGTCCAATGTTCAGCACTAGCCAGCAGAGGGGCTGGAACATTGACCTTGTGAGTAGTAAATAAAATCCTTAAGAGCTGAACACACTCAGACGTGTCCCAGAACAGGCCCCTGCCGACACGTTTCCTTTGTAAGCCAACAAGTGCAGCCCTCCCTGGGGCAGGGGTCTGTGTCCTGCACGTGGCTCCGGTATCACCTGGTGCGAAGCTGATTAATCCATAACCACCGTCTCCTACTCCCAGAGCCCCGGATGGGGAGAGCTCCCCTCCCTTCCACAGGCACGCGCTGACGGTTTAGTGCTGCTTCCCTCTTGGACGTCGGTTCCTCTGCAGCGCTGCCGAGGGACCCGCCAGCATCCTCCTACCAAGGGCCTTCTGCAGGCAGTTTGTGTGGGATGCAGGCTGAGCAGGGTCATGCTGGTGCCCCCACCACATGCCCTGAGACACTGATCAGTGACCCCAAAGGACCTGCAGCCCCTCTGTTCCCTTGCAGCACTGGGATGGGAGCACAAGAGATGGGGGGAGGCGATGTTCTATTGGCTGAAGCTGTGGTTGGAACACCAGAGATCTGGGTCCAATTTTCAGGCTGGCCACAGCCCCTCCGGGGCCAGTTACGTCTCCCTGCGCCTCAGGGTATGTCTGCACTGCGAGAGAAGAGCCGCGGCTGGTCCAGGTCAGCTGACTCGGGCTGGAGACGGGGTGTGACTGAGACCCCATGCGGGGGGTGGTCTCAGAGCCTGGGTCCTGTCCTAGCTTCTACACTGAGTTGTGTAGCCCTGCAGCCTGAGCTGACGCGAGCCTGTGTGACCCGGGCTCTGGACTGCGCAGCTGTCACGGAGTATTGGGGGACTCAGGGCCCTGCACCCCTGGCTTCCTGCGATTCACCATGACTCTCAGCCAGCCAGTAAAGCAGAAGGTTTATTTGGATGACAGGAATACAGTCCAAGAC